GCTTGAAAGTTCGCACCCTAAACCCCTAAACCCCTAACCCCTAAACCCCTAAACCCCTGAACCCTTAAACCCCGAAACCCTAAACCCTAACTCTTGGGATGTAGAAAGCTGTTTAGGCTTTGGCTGCGGGGTTCGGGATTCCATGGTTCAGCTGACTTTTGGGGGGTTTGCCATACTTAGGGGCTGAGTAGGCAACCTTTAATAATTACCACCTTTTGGGGCCTTGGGTACTCCTACCAGAATTGAAAAGGGGTCTATAGGGCCCATAGGGTACTCAGCCCCGAAGTAGATGGGTTTGACTAGTTACTGAAAGACTCCCTTAGGCTTCCTTGCTAGGGTTGTAGGGTTTAGGGTTGTAGGGTTTAGGGTTTTAGGGTTTAGGGTTTTAGGGTTTAGGGTTTTCGGGTTTAGGGTTTTAGGGTTTTGGGTTTTAGGGTTTAGGGTTTAGTTGTATCACCCGGGTTGGGTCCGTGCTTCGGTACGCATAGCATACATTCTAAACCCCCGGAGGCAAGATCTACCATTGGGGTTCTGGGGCTCTCTTCTTCAGTGCTGGGCTAGTCTCCCGCACAGCAATGAGACTTTGGGCCAGAAATCTCGGCGCCTCGAGGTCTTAAACAGGGCTTAGGGGTTTAGGGTGTATAGGGTGTAGGGTTTAGGGTTAAAGCTTGAGCGCACAGTGTCTTTGGATGCGCTTACAAACCAAGCTCCTCGCAAAAAAAATAGAGCCTCGCAAAAAAGACTCTTCTCGAGCCGAAACCTCCCAGGAGCCCTAAACCCAAGAAAGGTTTTAAGAGTTAGGCTTCAGGGGTTCAGGGTTTAGCGTTGAGGAACCTAGAAACAGAAACCCGGCAAGCTGCTCCACTGCAGAGGCTTTGCTCTTCCTGACGATGTCCCGGGCTATGCTCAGCAGCACATCCCGATGTTTGCCGAAATGGGCCAGTCTCCCGACCAACTGCATGTATTTGTACATGTGTATGGGCGTATTTGTTCTTGCATGCGTATGCATGTGTGTGTGTGTGTTTGTTTTTGTTTTTTGCATTACATATGTATTTTTTAAATATGATGCCTGTATAGATAGATAGATAGATAGATAGAGAGTTAGGTAGATGGTTAGATAAATCGACAGACAGAGACAGAGAGACAGACAGTCGGATGGACAGACACACAGACACACAGACACACAGATAGATAGATAGATAGATAGATAGATCGATAGCCAATGTACCGCCATGTGAGATCTACATGGACATGCTGGAATCGATGCAAGCTCAAAAGCCTTGTGCAAGCGAAGCGTCCGTCGATCTAAACGATTAATGCCTAGGTTGCTCCTCCGTGCGGAGGAGGCTGAGCCCTAAGCTTTGGTATTATCGTATGTGATAGTATATGAGGCTTTATGGGGCTAAGGTGTTCTCATCACCTTCCTGGACTCGCACAAAGACTTTCACATTGAGGCAGGCAAAGCTTTGTGCCTGTATTCCTCGATCCACGTGACCGGCCACACCATCGGCACAGTCCCGGGCGTGATGCAGAGACTTGCCTTGCTTGCTTGAGAGAAAGGGTAAGGGACTAGAAAGGAGAGAGAGAGAGAGAGAGAGAGAGAGATAGATAGAGATATATATATATATAGATAGATAGATAGGTATGCATGTGTATATGGGGGGGCTTACCTTCATTATCATCGTCTAATGGCTGCGCCAGTGTTCATGGCGACGATGACGATTGTGGTAGTGATGTTGCTGCTCTGGCTGCTGCTGACAAGAAGACAAAGCTGAAGATGAAGTTGATGATGGAAGGTGTGGCTAGTCATTATACCCGTACATGGTATCCCGAAGCTGGTGTCTTGTTAAGGGATTGATGTTAAGTTACCATAATAAAGAAACCATATTGTTTACTATAGATCCCCATTATGGTAACTGAAATTAAATCCCTGAACAAGAACCCAGGAAATGCCGAACCGGAGGACCTAACCCTAAGCTCTGAACCGAACAAACCCAGATGTCCCAGCTCCGGGCATCGGAGTGCTGACATCGAAGCTCAAGATCCCCAGGCTTCTAAATCCTAACCTGCGAAGTCCTATACCCCCGAGAGTTTCCACTCCCAACCCTCAGACCCTATACCCCTCAGTTCCCCAATCCTGAACCTGAAATCGGACCAACTTCGGGCTTGGGGGTATAAGGGTCCTAAACCCTAAGCCTAAACCTTTTGTTATTATTATCATTAGTATTACTACTATTTATATTATGATTGTTATTGTTATTGCTATTTTATTATTATATTATTTTTTACCGGCCTATTTAGGCCTCAGCACAAGCAAGGAAGAGCGTGGCTGAGTTGAACCGACTGCTGGGATGTGCGCAGGACAGGCTTCTCAACCGTGTGCCACTGAGGGCTGCTTTGTTTATTATATTGTCGTCGCCGTAACGGCGCAGCTGTAGTAGAAGTGCTAGTTATCTAGCTATGAGTACATGTTATGAAAATCTTACCGCCGCGGGGAGCAGTATAGTGGTAGTGGCAATACACCTCCGGGCCCGACCTCTTCAACTGAATTCCTTGATCTGAACGGCACCACATCACCTTGTTACTACATGGCTTCAATATGAAGCCCAAATCCATTAGCCCTTCCGACACCCTCAGCCCGAAGTAAAGCCAAATCCTAAATGGTCCTAACTCCTAGCAACTACGCCCATGACCCCAAACACTAAGCCCTAAACCGTTGGGGCTTATAGTTTAGGGATACCCATGACCCCAAACCCTACGCCCTAAACCTTCAGCCGGTTGGGGTTTAGGGTTACCCATGACCCCAAAATCCACACTCCGAAGCCCGACCTTCCTTTCGAGTATTTCCACACCTGTGAATCTCGACATGATCCCCCGAACAAAGTCACACTTACACCAACCCTAGGGCCCTAGGGCCTAAGTAGACCAGCGCTGCGTAACCCGGTGTAAAGCCCAAACCCTATTAGTTAAAACTGCCAAAAACCTACTCTTTTTTGTAGATTCCCGAGAAAGTCTACCCTGGGGCCCTTGACGCAATCGCAACCCGAACCATCTTTCGCGAACCATGCTCCAACTTTCTGGGGCTTTCGGTAGGATTCTTGAATTATTTTTGTTAGCTCATAAATCCCACAGGTTTAGAGTTTCGTGGGGGTTTCTTCGTTTATAATATACATCCGGGGACTAAACCCTAAACCCCAAACCCTAGGCCGTAAACCTATTGTTTTATTATGGGTCTCTAGGGGCTTAAAGGTTCCTAGGTGTCGCTGTAAGAGGCTCTGTCGGGATCAGCCCCAGACCCGAAAGCCTTTAGGTATTTAGGGTTTTAGGGTTTAGGGATTTAGGGGTTTAGGGGTTTAGGGATTTAGGGGTTTAGGGATTTAGGGCTTTAGGGGCTTAGGGCTTCAGCCCTAAACCCCCGAAGCTCGAAGCCCTCCACCCTAAACGTTAATTCCGGAGCCTGGACCCTGGCGGTTCTGATTCCATTTTTATAAAGTTTCCAGGATGCTGAAAGAGTGTAGAGGGTATCTTTGGGGGTTCCTTATCAGAATTATATAGTATAACCTACCCCAAGACCCTATTCTAGTTCAGGCCCCCCTGCATTAAGTCTTTTCACGTTAGAGGACGATCCTCCCTGGCTGGTGGACCTGGACCTGAGTCAACTGTATTGGCCCATGTGCCCGCTGACCGAGGAGACATCGGCAGCAAGGTTTAAGAGTCTAACCTCTGGAGCCTGGGCAACTACAAATAGTAGATTAGGATTCCTCACTATAAGTATGGAGAATATACCCCAAAGCCCTATTCTAATTCTGAAGGCCCTTATATTAGCGTTGAAGGGTCTAGGGTGATGAGGTTTCGGGGCTTGGGCGTCAGGGTTTAGGTGTTTAGGGGTTGGGGTGTTGAGGTTTCGTGTTTAGGATTTATAGAGCGTGGTATTGAAGTTCTGGTCCCTAAAACCCTAAACCCCTTCAGAGCACCTGTCAACCTTAGCGATGGGCTAGCAACTCGACGACGCCTTCGTTACATGCGGTGCCCAGCATGTGTATGGCCGGCCTTCGTCCAGTGTTTAGTTTCTGCGTCATGCTTATGTCTCGGGCTTTGAGTTCATGTGGTTGTTCCTGAAATGAAAGATCACCTAAACAGTTCAGTGAAGTTCAATATTCTATACCCCGGGCCGGAACAACAAGGCAGGGACTTAGGGGACAGGTCTTTGTTCCACGCGCTGCGCCGTCTAAGGGAGATTCGAACCTCGCTACATCGCTCAGCTGTGATTACTTCTTTGATGTCTCCCAAATCCCGACAAAGCTGCGCCGCCAAGATTGTCAAACTGTGTCAGACCTTCGGTGATGTACTTTGGCATTGCTTCAAGGACGTTTTCAAGGGCGCTTGTAATAAAAGGGAGCCAGACCCATTTCAGGGCCCTGACCTTGATAAGGACGTCTCCAGCGACTGTTCCATCCAAATCTTGACGCGCTCCCCGAGCGCTAGGCTTTATCCCTTTGCTGCGAACCCTAGATTGCAGCCTTGAGCCCTATAGAGGCCTTTCACCCCGAAGAATAAAACTTCAGAGATCGCTTTTGGATTATCACTATAGCCTTATTAGCTTATATTCCAAGTATTCTTATATCCCAAGTAAGTAGTCAGACCCCATATTACGTCCTCGACTCTGAGCCGCAGGAGAACAAGCCGAAGACGTTCACTGAAGCCTTGTTCCTCACCGTTCCTGGCGTCACGGGGGCCGTGCTTACAGGTATGTTGGCCCTGATTGCTTCTGGGCTGCTGTTGCCTGAGTGTTGTGCTACAGGTTTGCATAGGCTTTTATAGGGTTCTGAAGGTTGATATAGGTCGCTATATGGAGGGGTTTCCGAAAATAGGGGACTCTAATATAGTACCCCCAAATAGTAGGATCCTCATGAAAAGGACCCCAAGAAAAGGTACCCCCCCGTTTTTTCGGAAAGTCCCATATGGCCAGTTGATTCACTCAGATCCCAAAAAAGACGGGCAGGCGGAGTTTTAGTTGAGCTCGACCGTAGAACCGCAACACCAGGCCGCCGCAAAGAAGGCCTCAGCACCTCGAGGGATGTGAGTTTCGCGACGGACATATTCAAAATCCCTAAACCCGAAAAGCAGAAAACGCTGAATTCAACGCTAGACCGCCAAGCCCTACCCAGACACCCCAATCACCCTTTATTGCAGCCCTTGCTTACCCGTTAATGGGGAATATGAGCCTTACTGAGCACTGGCGACGTCCTGGTAGATGTTGGAGTTGAATCCAGGACTCCCCTAAACCCTAAACCCTATAATCCCTAAACCCTTAAACCCTAAACCCTATAATCCCTAAACCCTAAACCCTAAACCCTTAAACCCTAAACCCCCTAAACCCTGAAATGATCACCAGCAGAGGCTTTTACCAGCCGTCAGAGCTTTCGCAGCAAGCACTTTGAATGCTTCTGGACGCTTGGCCGAAATTGGTTGCAAGGCAATCGACCTAGACACTCCCTGAACCCTAAACCCTAAACCCTACTATGTAGTAGGGTGAGGGTACAGGGAGGGTCCTGGCAGACAGTTCAGCACATACAGCTCAGGACTCAGTTGCCTCTTCTCCTTGTTACACACCTATCTTGAGACTAAACCGCAAAGCCGCCCCAAAGTGGTTGAGCCCGTAGTTTTTGCTCTAATGAACAGCATCCCGGCACCTTGCCCTTCAACAGATCTGACCCTCAAGCAACTTCGCTCCTTTAGTTGTGCCCGGTCGTGTATTCATATGGTGTTGGACGATTTTGCTGGGACGAAGCTCTGTGGCCCCAAAGTGTCCTCGGAGACTTGTTGCATGTTTGCTGTCAATGGTACCAGTTTTCCTTGATATGCATGCGCCCCATGGCCCAAGCCCCATTGGTCACCGGCCCGGGAATATCGACACAGGCATCAGGCGCCATCCTGCAGACATGAAAGAGCTGCCTGCCACGCTGAACAAGAATGCAGTCTGATAGTGCTGCTGCGTGTATAAATAACCCCTTCGACAAACCCCAATACATACTATGGTGTACTGTGAGCAGGAAACAGAGGCCTGCACCCATGCTCACCCTGGAATGATAAGCTGCAGAACTGAAGCCCTAAACCCTAAACCCCTAAACCCTAAACCACTAGCCCCTAAACCCTAAACCCTTAAACCCTAAACCCCTAAACCCCTAAACCCTATGCCCCAAACTTGTATACTACCTTTCTGACGCCGAGAAAGGCACACAATGGAGGGTGCAGGCTTCTTGTTTTCGGGTCTCCCGAACGCCCCCGAAGCACGCAACCCTATAATATACTACACATTATACCATACTATAGTATACTGTATATACTCGAATATACCATACTACAGTATATTGTATATACTATGTGCAGTTGCTTGGAGCCTTCTGAGCAAGAAAGGAACCTGCACAACGTGGCGATCTTCACATGGCCGATTATTCTGTTCTTCCACGGCTCGCAAGGCCTGGCATAGCGGTTTTTGTTTGAGGGGGGATGAGGGGGGGCTGGGTTCAGGGTTTTAGGGTTTCGGGGTTTAGGGGGATGTCTGGGGTTGGCTGTATAGTAATATGAGATGGACTGGATGGTACGGTCTGGTGCGATATGGTATGTCATGGTACGATACGGTATGGTATGTGTATAGTATGGTATGATATGGCGGTAAGGGTGTGGTATGGTGTGTGTACGGTATGGCATGGTATGATATGGCAGTGGTGTTGTGTGGAATACTGTATGGTATACTGTACTGTATGGCATAGCATTACAAGCATAACAATATTTCATGGCATGGCATGGCATAGTATAGTATGGGAGAGCAATATATAGTATAGTCTAGTACAGTATAGTATAGTATAGTATAGTATAGTATAGTATAGCATAGCACAGAATTATAAAGCATGGTATGGTATGGTATGGTATGGTATGGTATGATAAGTTATGGCATGGCATGGTATGGCATGGTATGGTGCAGCTGTATCCGAAGATATGGTTAAAGTGATAGTCACAGCTTTAGTTTTAGCTACAGTTGTAGTGATAGTTCCAGTTGCCATGTACTGTGGTATGCTGCGGTGTAGCAAAGTCTATATAGTCCAATCTAACCTTTTCTTGTCTTGAATGGTCTAGTCTAGGCTAAGCTAGTCGAGTCTAGTACAGCATATTACACTCCTTCAGGGCTTTCGTTCAGAGTGCAGCCACTAGCTTTTGGTTTGTCTGCTTCCACGGAGGGCGCCTCTGGCGTTACCTCCCAGAACAGCACTGTACGGTGAAAATTGGCCAGACCGTGGAATGAGCATCGCAGTTATTCCTGTACATAGTCTTGTAGGAGCACGCGGCTCCTGTTTGGCGCCAATCTGCGGTTTTGCCATTAAGGCGAGGAAGAGCCGCGTGCAGATGTGCTGAGAGGTTGTCTCCCAAACTCACAAAAGCAGTGAAAGGTGTGCGGTACGAAGGAGCTTCAAGCCAAAAGCCTCAACCTCGGACCGGGCTTCTGTGAGGTTGGGTTGGGGTCGGCATTCCGCTGGTCGTCATCGTCTCGGCCCTCCCTATCACGACCTATGCCATCGGCCGCATCGCACGGCTCCTCCGCTACTACCTCTTTGTTGGGAAGGCGCTGCAAAGAGTTTCGAAATTCCAAGCTTCTCTCTTGGGCTTAGAGTTTAGGGTATTTAGGGTTTAGGGTTTTTGTTTCTTGGGTTTAGGGCTTAAGGGTTGCGGGCTTAGGGTGCCAATAACTTAGAAGAGGGTTTCCTGAAGCAAGCGTTCTATAATCTTGAACTTGAAAGGGTCGTTACCATTGGCCCAAGCCCCGAATGCTGCACAGTCTGGCAATCAGCCGGAAGCTAAGCCTCCCAAAGGGTCCGAAGTACCTGTATTTGGGGAGTACTTCCCCTAACCATAATAATAGTAGTATTTCCTACTGTTCAAACCCTAAAAACACGAACCTTAAACTCGAAACCTTAAATCCTAAGCCCTAATTTCGACGATATACCTACCCATAGGCCCCTAAGTAGTTCCTTTTTGGGATTACCTTATAGGATCCTAAGTATAAGCCCTCAAAAAGGAACTACTTAGGGGCCTATGGGTAGACTTCAGACCCTTTGACTTTGGGCTTCACAGACTAAGACCTCCGCTCTCTTGAGTGCTTGGCTAACGAAGGCCCTGCACCGGAATCTTCGTAACGGATTAGGGTTTGGGCTTTAGGGTTTAGGATTGGTAGGGTTTAGAATTAGGGTCTGGGGTTCAGGATTTAGGGTTAAAATTCGGGTTTAGATTAGGGTTTGTTTGGGCTTTAGGGTTTGGGATTTGTAGGGTTTAGAATTAGGGTTTGGGGTTCAGGACTTAGGGTTAAAATTCGGGTTTAGTAGGTTTTGGGACTCAGGGTTCCTAAGTAGTTCCTTTTTGGGGGATTACCTTATAGGACTCTAAATGTAAAGCCACAAAAAGGAACTACTTAGGGGCCTAGGGTTTAGGGGTCTATTTTAAAAAAGCACCGTGATCGAGGAGGGCTCCGGGCTTATGGCCTCGGGTAGCTGTTTGAGTGAGCCCCTGAGGCTCTCCTAGATATCAGCCAGAGCCATACTTATTATAGGGGCTTCCATTTTTCTACCAAAACGGTTTCGGGGCTCGTTATTATCAAAAAAAATACCCCCGAAACCCTTTTCTAGTTCTTCAGGCCCCGATACTACCACTCTGAGCCCTTGGTTTTGGTATCCTTGGGGGAAGCCCGTGGCTGTGGAGGCCGTACGGATCCTTCGCGCCACGGTGAGGTTGGGGAGGAAGGGCGATGTCAACGGCTCTTTGACTCAGCTGGAGGTGGGCATGCGAAAATCATGTCAAGGTAAAGAAGGGCTGAATACTTAGACACAGGCCCCGATTGGGGCTTGAAGACGGCCTGTAGTATCACCGTAGAAGGGGTCGAAGAGTTGATTCCGAATGTCCTGCTGCCCCTACAAGTCTCTCCACCTGAAACTCGAGCCCCGCACCCGAAGGCCGAAGTCGGTTCCCCTAGCGGTTTAGGGTTCAGGGTTATAGGCTATAGGGTTTAGGGTTTTAGGGTTTAGGGTTTAGGGTTTAGGGTATGGGGTGGGAGCGTAGCTTGGAGGAGGTTTCGGCTTGGGTTGGGCTTCCTGCAGGTGACGCCACCTCCGTACTTGTGGAGTTTCCATGCTGGCATGTACGCATTCATCTGTATGCCGGACTATGCGCCGCTACAGTGGCATCCCTTCACGATTACGTCTGGTAAGGATGATGCAACCGTGAACTTTCTGGTGGCAGGTGCGGTTGTCATGATGCAAAGGATGACTCGCAGGGCCGTTCTAAACCCAAAGCCCCAAAACCCTAAACCCTTAACCTGTACTTTCGTTTAGCTTGCTCTGGGGTTTGCAATTGGTCTTCGGGCATTTGTGAAGGTCATAAACTCTGGGGCATACAGAGGAACCTTCTGATAGGACTTAAGGAATGGGAAGACCGCAAAGCAAAGGTGTGAATCAAGTAAAAGAGGGTAAGACTGAAACTAAAGTAGAGCACTTAGTAGACCAGGTGTGGGCGACTGGAGCAATGAAGTGGCACGGCGCTGCCTGAAGGGTGACTCGGTAAGTCACCAGAATTTTGTATTTTTCTTATGGGGTTAAAGACGATCCTATTACGTACCCTACACCCTAAACTCCCTAAGCTCCCTAAACTCCCTAAACCCGAGTCCGCCGAGTCCCCAGGTGAGTTGCCTCGCTTGGCTTTGGATGGGCCTTTCGTTTCCCCTACACAGTCAGCCATGGACAAGGAGGTCCTTGTTGCTATCGGCGCTGTTCAGCTGCAGACCCTTAAGAGGCACTACAGGGTCCTCTAAGAGGGTCCCCTTCAAGGGTACTATGGGGTTCGGTAATAGAGTCCCCTTTGGAAGGGTTTAGGGCCAGTCTAGAAAAAGAGAAGTCTTGGAATATACATAAAACTGCGCAATACTGTCTTACCCCCACAGAATTCGAGGGGATCTGCTCAGGAGCTGTTTTACACAGCGTCTCTGAGGGGTCTGGGTAGGAGGTCTCTCTTGGTGATCTTTGCAGGAGTCGCGAGGAAAGTCCTTACCCCTGTCATGAATCTGCTGCCAAGCTCAAAAAAACCCCAAAACCCCGTATAGTAGAAACCCAAAAGTTGGAAACCCGATAGCCTCAATCCTTAAGAGTAATGCACAGGAAATCCCAGCACTATTTGTGCTTAATCCGGTTTCCAAATTTTTGGGGGTTTGCTATAAGGGATCTAAGTTAAGTTACCAGAATACAGAAACCATGGTTTTTCTCGACCCCTGCTATTGGTAACTTAAACCCAAAGCCCCCCCCCCAAAAAAAAAAATAAATAAAAAAAATAAATAAATAAACTCGCTGGTATGCCCAGGCTGGGGTCGGCGTCACGCCGTTCCTCTCCTTGCTCTCCACCTTTTTGGTGCAGCTTTCAGGAACCGATGCATCCTCGCTACTCGAGGTGCGGCCCGAGGAACAAGTCCTACCAGAATTTTCCCCACACCTCCAAGTGGGGGTATAGTTATGGCCCTGAGAGTAGAGAAACAGTAGGGGTTTAGGACCTATAGAATAGTGGATGGAGGGTCTAAAGCGATTGATGACTTAGGTTAAGGGGTTTAACTCGGGGTGAGGATCGGAATTGATGGTTTTGTTGTGCTAACGCTTTACCTCCTCTTCCATCTCTCTCCCCTTGCCAGGCCCATTTCTACTGGGTCACGCGGGATCCGAGTGAGTTCATCTTCGGCGCGCCTTTGCTACGGAACTGGCTCTCCCACCGTCCCTTGCACGCCAAGATTGTGGTGCACCTGTACACCACGGCCAGATGCCCTGAGAAGGACCTAAACCTTAAACCCTAAACCCTCCAAGCCCCTAAACCTTAAACCCCCCAAGTCCCCAAACCCGAAACCCGCTAAGCCCCTAAACCCCTAAAACCCCCTAAGAGCCTATAACCCGAAACCCCCTAAGCCCCTATACGCCCCTGCAGCCCCCTAAACGCCTGAGAAGGACCTGCCGAGCTTCCTTTTCAAGGAACGCCTCAAGCGACCTCCGGCTCTCTGGGGTTTTAGGGCCCTTTAGGGTGCTTTAGGGCCCTTCAGGGCCTTTTAAACTTTTAGGGTTTAGGGTTCTTCAATGCCCTTTAGGGTTTAGGGCCCTTTAGGGTTCTTTAGGGCCCTTTAGGGTTTAGGGTTCTTTAGGGCCTTTTTGGGGTTTAGGGTTCTTTAAGGCCCTTTAATTAGGGTTCTTTAAGGACCTTTAGGGCCTAGGTTTCCTTAAAGACCTTTAGGGCTGAGGGTTCGGATTCTTTAGGGAGTTTAGGGACCTTTTGGGTTTAGGGTTTAGGGTTCTTTAACCCTTAGCATCAAAGGACTCATATTTCAAGGCTTTTGGGCCCAAAGACCCTATTATATAAGGCTTTTGGGCTATTTTGATGCTAAGGGTAAGGGCCCTTATTGGGTTTGGGGTTTTGGGTTTGTTAGTCAGGCTTCGGTATTTAGGGTCTAGGGTTGGATAGGGCGTCGTTCTACCGTAACCTACGTTTTTGGCATGGTCCCGAGAAATCCCATGTTAGGGACTGTTAGGGTTTATAATCAGAGAGGGTCGAAAGAAGAAAAGCCAAGGACAGGGTGCAGTCGATCGCCAATACTTCAAGGCGATGCTCCTTCTTCGGGGCTCAGAACGAAGACTGTAGTTTAAAGCCTGCAGGCTTCAGGTTCGGGGACGGTTTTTTTTTGGTTTCAGGCTTTCAGGAGATGTCCTAGGAGTGTTGCGAGGGTTTGGGGCAAAATTGAACCTAGTGGGTTGTGGCCATTTAAGCAGATAAGGCATACTGTCCCCAGGTGAAGTTGCGGTTTTTCCTCCTGCCAGCACAAGCAGCCGCACAGAGGACTTGATAGTGACCTGAAGCAGTTGGCAAAACATCACGTTTTCGTGTACATACCTACACCTAGCAGCAGCCTCAGCATGAAAACTTTCCAGCAGGTACTCAGCGTGAATCTCGGAAGGTGGTACGAGTAAGTTTTGATTTGTAGGGATACAGAGACATGTAGACTGGCATTTACATGTACGTATTCATGTGCATACAGACCTACATGCATGCATACATACAAAACTTACACTACATCCAGTTCATACAACACTGAAAATGCATCCAGTACATACCAGACATGCATACATACATGCATGCATACATACATACAGACATACATGCAGACATACATACAGACAGGCAGACAGACAGACTGCATATTTGTATAGGTGGAGCCAGAAATAGAAAGACGAACAACAGGAGAGCTGCCCATGACATGCTCACGAATTGAGTCTGAACAATCAGTGCCCAGCAACAAACAAGGCTTGTTGTAACACATAGCAAGCCTTCAGTACTGCACAGAAGAAGCCATAAGGCTTAGCTGGATGTCGAAATTTGCAGGCTTTGGATTTGCAGTCTCAGAGCAAAGTTGTTGATTTTCCACGAAACCCTAAACCCTAAACCCCTAAACCCCTCAACCCCTAAACTCCTAAACCCCTAAACCCTAAACCCTAATCGACTCGCGGCACCTCTCTGCCAGGCCGTCTTCCCGGAGTGGCAGCGACAGAATCTGCAGGCTCCGGGTCCTCAATTTCCTTGGCTCCTTCGGCCTTCGAACAGGCACTGGTTTAGGGTTTGGGGTTTTGGGTTTAGGGTTTGGGGTTTAGGGTTTAGGGTTTAGGTTAGGGCTTGGGGCTTGGGTGACCTCTGTGGATAGCCAGCTGGCTAGCTGGGCGGGCCGAAAGGACGTTCATTGATCTATTTATTCATTCATTAATGTGTTTATTGGTTTACTATTTATAAACCGTTTGTTTGTTCGCTCGATTGGTTGACTGATTGAGTGACTGGTTTACTGCTGGACACATGTATATTTATGTGTGTACATATACATACACACACATATATATATATATGTATACACACACATACATATACACACATACATATATGCATACATGCATGCATGCATGCATACATACATACATACATACATACATACATACATGTCGAGGGAGATTAGGCATTTGTTTTTGCATTGATTCCTGTGTTTACGCACTCACTTGCGAGCTTTTACGCTTACTTGTTACATGTTTCAAACTTGTTTGTCCGTGATGTGGTCAACTGTGTCTGTATATAGTAGCAAAACTTATGACGTATGCTATGCAAGACAAGGTCGTCCTTTGTTTCGTTAAAACCTTCTATCTTTTCGGGTTGAAGGAGAGCCTATTGTCCTGCTTTCTGCTTGGCCTGGGCTCAGCTCGTACACTGGGTTCGCGTATGGTAGAAAGAGTCCGTATCGGAGGTCCGCGGCCTGAAGGTATAGTAGGGCTGCAACGGCTGAAGCTTTGGGCTCGTATACTGTCCGGGGTCCATTTTGAGACCCTAGCGCGAGATGGTTTTTGTTCGGGCTGCTGAATTACCTAGAACCTGGCCCCAGAAACCTGCCAGAGGTCCCCTAAACTCTAACCCTGAAGCCCTAAACCCTAAACCCTAACTCCCAATCTGACACCAAGTGCCTTGCCCCGAAGGGAAAGATCCCGCAGCCTTGAATCTAAGGTGCTGGGCAGAGGGTGGCCAGGAGGAGCTTTTGTGGGTGCCCTGCCCATCCCGGGGTGATTTCACGGAGAAGTTCTGGCTTGTCAGCAGTTCGTCCCCAGGCACGAGGGGCGATACTCTGCCCATAAGCAAGCCCCGAATCAACTCCAATAAAAGACTTTACGTGAAGCATGAGATGGGACGGCTCCTTATTTATGGCACTGTTCTTTCATGCCGTTCGTTTCGCTGGCTGCGTAGACACTCTGCGCAAGCGCCAAGTTGTTCGCTGCCCAAACCCTGATGTGTGCTGCTGGAGCCTTGCAAGCGTATTCTAAACCCCCCGAACCCTAAAACCCCCCAAGCTCTAAACCCCAATCCAAACCCCTAAGCCCTAAAAAACCCCTGAAGTCTTCAATCAAAGTCAGATCTGTTGAAGCAAGAGTGCTCGAACCGCCTATCTGGATGTGAGCTTGTGCATTGCTAGCACTTGGTGTTGACTGCTGCTGTGGTAGTATCATGTGTGTTGGAGGCAGTAGTTCGAGCATAGGTGAGCTTACGCCGTAATCAAACACGAAAACTACTCCTCCTAGTCTGCTGCTGCTGCTGCTACTGATACAGCTACTACTACATTTCCAATTGTACTACTACTACTACTACTACGACGACTACTACTTCTTCTTCTACTGCTGCTACTAGTATTTCTAGTAATTCTACCACCACACCACCACCACCACCACCACCACCACCACGACAGCTACTGCTATTGCCTCTGCTACGGCTACTGCTACTTGTCCTGCTACTGCTATTGCTACCATCACTAAAGCTAGTTACTGCTACTACTGCTGCTGCTACTACTACCACCACCACCACGACGAGGACTACTACTACTGTTACTACTACTGATACTACTGATACT